GATAGCAAAGACGGGTTTTACGCTAGATTTATACATAATAATGCATTATTAATCTTTAGCAGACAATTATCTATTTAAAAACAGATAATGGTATTTGGTTCTACATACAAAACCTGCAGAAATACTAGCTTTATTTAGTGCACCGCTATATTTTCTTTATTGATGTTTTATTTTAAAAAAATTCTGTAAATTTTTCCACATTTTTTGAACACAACACAACACAGTGGGCAACTGGTAGACTTCCCAAGCACCTTATCACCAGGCTTAACTAGTTTGCTGGGGGAAACCCTGTATATCAACTTTTTAAAATACCAAAAACATTTTAAAAACTCAGCCGTTGCATTTTAAAATCATGTTTGCTTAGAAATGTAAAATTGTCCATGTCTGATATCCAGTTATTAAAGTCAAATTGAGTAATAAGAAGCCACTGCTGCTTAATAGTTGGGTTACATTCTGCTACTATTGTATTTAAATAGCTAAAAATAAACATGAAAAAAGATGTTTTTGAATACGTTTAAAAACATGTTTTAGACATATTTAAACTATTTTACTTCTGTGTGCTATTCTGCTATAAATATGCAAACAGAACATCTATTGTTTGACATCAACACTACATGTATAGTTCAATGTCAACTGGACATATCATTACTGTGGTATCTTGGGGTGAATGTTATGTACCGAACGGTTTCCTTCTCAGATACAAAAGTGGGCGTGGCAGCCAGAGGACTGCAAAGGTTCTTCCGGATGTAGATCTTTTCCGTGGAGGCCGCACAATTCAACGATTTCTCTCTGGTGGCGACTTCGACGGGCTTCCGTTCGCACTGCACAGCTGGAAGACGACACAGTTCCCGACGGTAAGGCGCTTGAAACCTTGCCGACACGTTATCAAAGGTGAATAAGTAGTTAAAAAGGTTCTCTTACAATCCTGCTTCATGCCCAAAGCTATACAGCGCTGTAGTCGGCAGTACTGGCAGCGGTTTCGGTGTAGTTTGTTAATGGCACATTCTCCCGATCCCCTGCAGGTATACACCAGGTTCTTTCTAATGCTACGTTTGAAGAAGCCCTTGCATCCCTCGCAGCTGACGGCTCCATAGTGACGCCCTGAGAGAGAAGGAAATGTTACAGCTTGCTACAAACACACACAACACTGGCTTAAAGTTCAGAAAAATACTGTCAGTAGTTGAGTAAAGTATTATTTCTACCTGACGCCTTGTCCCCACAGACAACACAGTACTCCACCACAGGCTTGACGATAGACTGGTCCGAGCCGTCAGTCACAAACTGACAAGCACAACACGACGGGATGATTTAAGACAATAATCACTGCGGTAGGTTTAGGCTGACTAAACAGACCCATGATTCAGTCATATGATCTTCCAGAGGCTTGTTTATGGAAACAGAATCGGGGACGAAGTCGACATGCTTTGGACCGTTACCTGAATCTGCTGTCCTGCCAGTTCGGGGGCGGCAAAAAGCAGCTGGTTGACCCCGGAGCCGTCCGAAGAGGCGAGGATCACCTTGTTAGGAGAGCCTTCCTGCTTGGCCAGAATCACCTTCCCGCCAGGGGAATAGTCGGCGTTCGCCAAGATGAACTGTTGCTTCCCGGGGGAGGACGGCTCAAGTGCTGTGACAATTTGGATCTTCTGTCCGGTCTGCTGATCAGTTACGATCTATCAGAGGAAATAACATAGAAAGTGTAAGCAGAGTATCTACGTTTTATTTTTGTTTTTTGCAGCTAGAGCACACATTGATATGAATTGTCCAAAGGGCAGAGAGTCCTCTCATTCACCTGGATTCGATGTCCTAAAGCCATGCTGTTGTCTGTTGACACAAGCTGAATCTTGTGAGTCTGTCCATCCATTCCAATACTGCGCACACCTTCATCCGCCGCTCCTCACATCAGTGCCCCATGAGGCATGCACACCTGTACGGCAGAAATCATCACAGTAAGAGACCAGTCATTTTGAAGTCCTATTATTTATTTTGGTAAATAATGACATTCATACAACATATGCAGATTTGTGTTACTGGGGCCCGGGGGAAACAGGCTTTTCAAGGTACAAATATTTTTATAATAACCTGATTAAGACTTCAATTTCCCATGGCTTTAAAATTTTATTGATATGTTATAAAACTGGGTTTATGAGCTATGAGCCATAATCACGGAAATCAGCAAATAACCTTTGCAATAGATAAATACACTTTATTGACATTCTAACTTATTGATGCCCAGCAGCAAGAAACAATAGATCCCGACATAAAGCAGCATGATAAACCAAAACAATGAAAGCACTATCTCAGCGAAAATACATTCTGGTTGCGTTACAATCAGACTTTACCTCCACCTTTATATGTTAGCATCTCATTCTCTCCCCTCTACATGGTACATGCAACACGCTAAAGCATCGATCCGACTTGTATATATGTGATTAAGCGTACACTTGTGTCAGTTCATTCGAAATTGCCTGGGTCGGAAAGTATAAACAACCACTTGGTTTATTATGTTGGATGTCAAGGCGTGTTAGTAATGTGGAGCCTGCGGGAAAGCAACCGAGCTACCGTTAGCCAAAAGCCCGCAAAAACCGCTAAAGAGCTGTATCCGGTGATATCAAATGAGTGGTAAAAACACTATATTTACACATGCCACTGACAGCCGGCTACTTAAAATCTATACGGAAGATAAAGGTATTTCTTTTCCTGTCGGTGAAAGGTCAACATTGAAGGGTTAAAGAACACTAGGGTTCAAGGCCCGAGATGCCAACAGAGATAGTTCCGTTTTCGACAACCGGCCAAAATTCGTTTTGGGAGGCTTTGGATCTTCACCCATATCATCTAAATAACAAGACAACTGACAGGTTGACACCGCTAACTGTTTATATGACGATTTCCTGCAATATGGATGCCTTTATTTAGGAATCTATGGAGCAGCGCTAGCACCGAAGGTAGCAGTAGCTCTGTTAGCTGACGCTGCTAAGCTAACTAGCTGTCACCTTTTATTAACATTACCTTCGCTCAGCGTCTCTTAAAGTCCACCTACTGGTGCATGAGGCTAGTAAAAAAGCATGACTTTGTAGGAGAATAGACATACCAGACCTCAGTGTAGCTCCAGACTATGACAAGCTATGTTAGCTGGTTGTTAGCTAGTAGCTAATGGCAACTTCCTTCCTGCTTCTCCAACAGCTCGATACTCTCTCATGAGTCTCGCGTACTTTAGCAGTAACGAATGTCTCTTACCTTTTGAAAATCCGATATGTAATAAAATGTATTGCTGTCAATGCAATAATATTGGAAGTGTTTTCTGCAGTTGTCGAGAGGGTCAGAGTTCGTGACCTTTTTCATCCATAAAGGTTTGATGCGCATGCGCACTAACGTTGCTGCGGTTTATGTATGACAGCGGCTGCGGTATGTTGACTGTCAGCTCTGCATCGGACTGTCTCCTTTAACTGGCTGTCTATAAATAATGCTGGTGGCTCGGATTTAAGAGTGTGAATTACAATTAAGGTAAAAATGACAACAATCTTGAACTCTATCTAGTTGTGTTTTGCTTAGATTCATTTTTAAATTACTTGCTTGAAATAGATAAATGTAGATTTGAGTTTAAGTTGATCATTTGTGTACATAGTTTTTAAAAGTCTTAGATACTTTTTAGATTCAGTGCTTAAAGTGTTCTTCTATAGGCTGTCTCTCATATTTTGGATCGTTGAGTCCAATTGTTTTTTGTGTTTTTTTTCCCCAGGATTTTTTAACTGCATGTATATTCCAGTAAGTTACTGGATGAACTGAAAGTTTTGTATGGCTTAATGTAATAAACACTGAAACAGTGTAATGCTATACTCTAGAACTTCCTTGTGTTTGTATTGCTGTTGACTCTTTTTAAGCCATCTAATTCACTTCACCTCACTGAAATTTGTTTATTCACTAGAAAAAGGACATCAACATTTTTCTTCTTCAGTTGTTCTCAAAGGAGCCGCAAATCAGCAAGTGTGGGGTCTTAATAGTCCCTTCAGAAATTAAACTAAGTCACTATTAATGCTTTACCATTATAATTTAATTTCCATTTTTTAATTATGAAAAACCCAATGACATTTGTGAGTCGGAAAAAGTCAAAAAGCCTATTAAATGTGGAGTAAAAATAGAGGAGCATTTCATAAAAACAGTCAAATAATGGTAGTAGTGTGATGTTCTGTGTCTGCTTCAGGACTTGGATGATTTTCTGTAATTAAAGGAACCATAAATTTGTGTCCTGCACCAAGAAACTCTAAAGGAAAATGTATATCTGTTCCTTAGTTTACAGATACTTTTAGCCATTATTTCAAAATCCCCTCTGAAAAATTTCCAAAAGACTGGTTTTATAGCTCAAGATGTTGTGGACTGACCTAAAACAGGCTCATGTTCAAAAATCCTCCAACATAACTGAATTTAGCCATTTCTGCAAACAAGAGTGAGTCATAACAATGTACAAAACTACTACCAGATACCGGAAATAAAATGTAAATTACACAAAATTAGGAAAGCTAGTACATATTTTCATAAATATTCAACATGGTACTTTTTCTCTTTTTAATAAATACCAGATGTTTACCCTTGCACAGTGCAGTAAAGTGAAAAGCAGTGATACAAATATTCACAGACGTTTGATTTTATTTGCTTTACAGTCATTTCCTATTTCTCAGTTTACATGCAAAATTTCATATGTACATAGTTTTAAGTGACTTAAGTGCAAAATATGTAAAATAATGTTACTTTTTTACAGTCGGTGTTGAAAATGTGTAGCCTCTTGCACAGTGACAGTGTGATGTCAGGGAACAACAAACAGCCTTTGCACAATTTTTTGGACCCTTTGAAGCTATAACAAAACATAGGTCTAATATTTTTCAGAAATTTGCAGCCATCATTAACAAGTCAAAGTGGTCCGAGACAAGAGCCTGGCATTATTGAATACTCTTAGTACTCAATGAAATACCATAAATCCTATAGGCAAAGAATTTTGCTCATATATAAAAATAACATTTACAGAAATGTAAAAACAATCGAACAAGATAAAAATGGGGGTGGGGGGGTCATTTCAACTAAAATGGTGCTTCCAGAAGACTTTCTTCTTCTTTGTAAAAGCTACGGAGCACTGAGGTAAAATACAAACTCCTCCACTCAGAGATTTACAACACGACTGCCTCTTTGAACGTGTCGATCCATCTATTCATAAAAACAAAAAAGAGAAAATACTGTTGAAATCACAGCTGTCTCAGTGTGATTTCAAACCAAGCTGCATTCATCTTTTCTGCTGCACATACATACCTTTGGGCTGTTTGCACATCGTCTGCCCTGAAAATGTAGTGAAGGGTGTTTTTGTGGTAGAGCTTAAACTGCTGCTTCTGAGAGGAATCCACTTTTAACACGAAGCCCAACAGGGGCAGACTCTCTAAGGCTGCCACATCCTGGAGGTAGAACCAAAACAAAGGTAGATATCAGGCTGGTTCACGAGTCTCTGCATCGGATGAACACGGTGAGACGTGCATACCTCACTAGCGGCGTACGTGTACAGGACTTTGTCTTTAATGACAAACCACAGCCTCTTCCCCTGCTTCTTATTGTGCTTGGACCTCTGCAGATACCCACTCATGGAGGAATTATCCGTGTTTGCGGACACCTAGGACAAAGAAAAGTGTGTTTTTAGGTCTAAATTTAAAAAAGCTCTCATGTTGTGACTGTATAAAAAGCTATATTAGTATCAGTCCTCAAAGGACATGTGAGAAAGTGAATATTTGCAATTGTGTTGTGTGTTTTCTGCAGAGTGCCCTTTAAAAGTATACATACATGTGATTTATCTCCAACTTCCAATGCATTTTGTTGAAATTTATACAAGGCAATTCAAAGCTTAGGGTTTTATTTTGGTGTATCAGAGTACAAAAGGCATGATACAAAATGGATGGCGCATTTTACAGATTTTTATTTGTAAAATAATTTGTGTAGTTTTGCTTCTACTTTGTATTGATCTATCACAAAAGAGTGCAACTTGTGGCTCTAATGTGGTTTGTTAGGCCTTCCACCCAAGCTCTGAATAACCTTGGATAATACTTATATTTCAAGACATAATTTTTTAAGGTATAAATAAAAAAAGACAGGCTAGTTTTAGTAGTTTTTAGTTAATATATGCATCAAATACAGATTGTTCTTTTTGGATAATTCTTGACAGAAATGGACGGAACTGTTAAGTTCCTCAACATTTTCTCTCCTTTGTTGTAAAAGTTTTTTTCTTCTTTGTTCTACAACCTAAAAAGAAAAATTTCACCAAAAAGCAAACAGCTTTTTATATATTTGTATTTATAAAGCTAAAAAGTTAACTTTTCCTTCTTTAGCTTTATAAAATTGATAATAAGTTCGGCCCCTCAGACTATTTAGGCTGCCGAGTTCAGGTATGTCACACGATTTTCATTGCAAGACATAATGAGCATGAAGCATGAATACGTTTGCAAAGCACTGTATGAATAAAGGGTCATTCAAATCAGGACAAAGCATCAGTTACCTCTTTCAGGGCTGCAGGTATCCTCTTATGTTTTCTGTTAAATGCAACCGTTGCCTTGCTTCCAGGCGGCAATGTTGCTGCTGAGGAAATTTCATCTGTTGAACAGAAAGTGCTTTAACTGTGAGAACATGTTTATGAACCTCTGGTGTCTGTTTTAGGGATATACGATACCCTGAGAGTGTAGAAGAATATGCAAGAATGGCAACGTGTTGGTATCAAACAGTGACTAAACATGTTCAGGCTTACTTTTATGCTCAAGAACGTCAAAGCACTGGTCACACACTCGTGCTGACTGCTTCTTTAGATATGCAAGACAGTGTTTATTGGAGGAACAAGCCTGGCAAACCACCTGAGGGGATGAAACCGCAAAAACATTTCAGTCGCATGTTATAAATGCTAATACATAAACCTATATAGTTGTTTTGTTTAAACACTTTGTCAGTTTGGAAGTTTTGGTATGTTAACAGCAATAGTTCCTTTACATATAATAGAAAGATGTCATATCACTCTGTTCGTTAATTATTTGACTGGTTGCACTGGGTTTTATTTTGGAGCGTTAGATGATGGTTAAGAATGCAACACTATTTAGATGTTCATTTGTAAACATCTTTAATGTGTCACTTCCTACCATTTCACACCTCACTTTGTATTAAGTCAAGAATGTATACAAATACTTCTGCAAGGCACCGCACCTCTTCTACTGGATGTATAAAACAGCTGCATAGTTCTTTTGAAAGAGGTAATCTATAGTTTTTATTTGTCAATAAAAAACAATTTCAGAAATCACACTTGTCCTTAAAGAGTAGAAATAAAAAAAGAAAAAGAAAAAAATCCTGCATGTATTTGTCCGCGAACCTTTCCACATGCGCGGCAGTGGTGTCTCCTCCACGTCAGGGTAAAGTCACAAGTGCAGATCATGCACATGGTGGTTCGTGTGTCCGGGATCCAAATGGGGGCTGTGGATCCCAAAGGTGGACCATCAACGCATTCGCCCAAATATTCCTGGATGAAAGCAAAAATGATGCATTGAAGTTCCCACTCACTGCTGAATCATACACGCTAAAGTCTGAGTGTTTAAATCACAGTGACTCAGGCTTTTAGATCACAAAACAGGAAAAGCGTACGCTGAAAAATATTCTTACCTCCTCTGGCTTGTTAGAAGACATAAAGCTAATTTTCTTCTTTGTGTATTCACTGATGGCCGAGGAAATAGTCTTGAGCCATTCATCTCGCTCTGCGGCCGAACTTTAAGAAGAGAAAAGGTAAAACCCTCCACATAAACCCGACAGCGTGATGAATATTACCGTGCCTTTTTCAAACTTACCTTGCGGAGAGAATAAAGGAGCGCTCCACACTTTCTATGTTCAGCTCATTCTGATAGCCCTCTTGACTGGGTTTGCTAACCTGCAATTATCAGCATTGTGAACGGCGTTGGCAGCACGAAGCTCATCGAGATGACATGAATGTGATTACATGAAGGACGTAAGAAAAAGGCGAAGCTCTCACCTTCATCCCAGCCAGAGACAGCATGTTTTTAAGCTTGAACTGGCCATGCTGAACAGGGGTGGTGTACAGCAACACATCGCTAAGCTAAAAGACAGAAAAAAAAAAAAAAGATTCAGAAGTTTTATGATGTAATACAGATGTAGCATAACGGATGTAGCGGTTTCTCGTTCTCTTGTGTCACCACCGGGATTTGCAGCAGAGTTACTTTGGTTTCTCTACAGACTCAGAATAAGAAGAGCGATTCTGTTTTTTTCCTCCCAGCTGACAGATTTATCACGTGGAATCCTATTTTAGGACAATTTGAAGTTTACATAGATAAATTATTGTGGTGCTCCATTTCATAATGTGATCCTGGGTGAATGACTTTTGAAACCTCATGCTTAAACACCGACAATCTTCCTGTTTGGATATGATTTCGGTTTGACGAATCAAAGACTTTGGAGGACTTTTATCTGATTTCATGTAGAAAAATAGGTCTACTGCTTGAGGTTGTTACACATTCCAATATTGAAAGATTACATCATTTATAAAAGAGTTAAATAAATAATAGTGAATTACTGACTTATCACATGGTAATCTAATGTAAAATAGCTCTAATCAACAAGACAGGGAGGAGAGGAATTAAAGGGAAGATTAATTTTAGGCTGAATGTCTGCGTGGTACTTTAAAAAAAAATAGGGTCATTCTTTGTTGTGAGCTTTGATCTGAAGACAGCTTAATTCTGACACATAAGCTCCTT